TGGGGAGTTCCTTAGGATCAGCTAAAGGAAGAAAAAAAACTTGTGCCTGATTTACAGAAGGTTCTGCATGACATGAAGCCACCACTTGAAAGTAGACAGCAGCACCACTGCAGCACCTTTCTGGGACCTCCCAAAAGGATAGCAGTAAAGGGAAATCCTCCCAATGGGCAGAGCTTTGAGCAGTGCACCTGGTTTTTCACTTTTCTTGGAAGGAGAAATGGCCAGATGTTCAACTGTATACTTATTTATGAGCAGTGGCTAATGGTTTGCCTGGATGGTCAGGGACTTGGAAGGAAAATTTGGTAACAAGGAGGTATGGGAAAGAGGTATGTGGATAGACTTCTTTGAATGGGCCAAAGATACGTATCTCACATGAATGCTCACCAAAGGGTGACCCCAGCAGAGGAGTATTTTAACAATCAAGTGGATAGGATGGCACATTCTACAGAAACAAGTCATCCTGTTTTCCCAGCCACTCTTATTATTGCCCAATGGGCTCATGAACACAGTGGGCATGGTAGCAGGGATGGTAGTTATGCATGGCTCAGCAAAATGCACTTCCACTCACCAAGGCCAACTTGGTTACAACCACTGCTGAGAGTCCAATCTGCCAGAAGCACAGACAAACACTGAGCCCATGATATAGAACCATTCTTTTAGGCGATCAACCAGAAACCTGGCAGCAGGATGATTACACTGTACCACTTCCATCATGGAAAGGGCAGCATTTTGTTCTTACTGGAAAAGACCCTTACCCTGGACATGGATTTGCCTTCCCTGAACACAATGCTTCTGCCAAAACTACCATCCATGGACTTACAGCATTGCTGAGGATCAAGCAATTCACTTCACAGCAAATGAAGTGTAGCACTGGGTGCCTGCTCATGGAATTCACTGCCCTTACCATGTTCCCCAACATGGTCCCCAAGCAGCTGGCTGGCAGTGATGATGGAATTAAGGTGCCAGCTAAGTGGCAATATCTTGCATGGTTGGGGCAATGTTCTCCAGGAGGCTAAACCAGTGCCCAATATATGGTGCTGGTTCCTCAAAAGCTAGGATTCACCACTCCAAGAATGAAGGGATGGAAATGGGAGTGGAACCATTCACTATTATCTGCAGTGATCCACTTGTAGAATTTTTACTTCCTGTCCCTGTGACCCCATGCTCTGCAGGTTGGGAGCTCTTAGTTCCAAAGAGAGGAATACTCCTACCTAGAGACACAAAACTGATTCCACTGAACTGGAAGCTAAGAATGTGACCTGGCCACTTCGAGCTCCACATACCTCTGGATCAACAGAGAAAGAAAGGAGCTACAGTACTGGCTGATGTGACTGATCCTGATTACCAAGGGGAAATCAGATTGATATTACATAATGGAGGTACAGAAGAGTGTGTCTGGAATACAGGAGATACTTTAGATTATCTCTTAGTACTACCATGCCCTGTGATTAAAGTCAGTGGAAAACTATAGCAACCCAATTCAAACATGAAGACTAATGGCCCAGAACCTTCAGGGCCCACCAGTCAAAGAACCAAGACCAGTTGAGGTTCTTTCTGAGAGCAAAGGGAGTACAGAATTGGTAGTGGAAGAAAGTACTTCTAAATACTAACTACGACCATGTGATCAGTTGCAGAAATAAGGACTGTGATTATGATTATTATTTCTTCCTCATATGTATGCATCAAATATTTTTGTTTTCCCCCATGAAATATAATATGCAAATGGGGCTGCAAAAAGGGCACAGGGGCAGCATCTGACCTCCTGTAACTTCACAAGGGAGAAGGAGGATCAAGATGAACATCAACAACCCAAAGTTGATACCTATGAGGTGGAGGTCAGACACACTGCCACCTCCAACCTTCTTCCCAATTCTGAAACCAACTTTCCCTCCCATAGCACCCTCTACTTCTCTGCTGGGTTTGATAATTGATTGTAATAGCCACACAAAATTCACAGACAATAAGATTATGTAGTTTATTAGAAAAGTAACAGGTTACAATTTAGTACCAGAAATGACTCAGGATACATTTATTTAATCAAGACAGCTTTTTCTCAGCCATACTACAGGCACACTACTCCCTGGCCTCAGCCCTTAGAATTGTGCAATCCCCATGTTAGGGCTCCTTATACCTTATTTGCACAGGCTCATTCCTACAAGGGTGTCATGTATCTTATTTACATTATTAGTAAGCTATCCAATCCCCTTGGTGGGCCACAAGCACCTCATATTTGCATAGTCTCAAGCCATTCATCTGGTGGAAGTCAGAAAGACCATGGTTAGAAGAGCCATATCAGGTAATTCACTGCACCACAGACCACACCCTAGCTCTTCTAGCCATTGGCCCTTTCATACTTGAAAGATTAATTTCCCTTTCCCATTCATTTTAAGTAAAAAACACAACCATGAAAGCATGTAAGGCAGCCATTTCATGCCTTTATCTCTCCTCATTTTAGATAGCCAATTTCTAAATTATCCATCTCTACCAAACCAGTACTCTGAGAAGACAAGCATGTTACTTGATCTGAAGAATCTTCTGTTACAGTTGGAACTTTGAGCATCTGCGGCCATAAGTCAAGTACAATTCAGAGCAAACCATCAAACTGTAGCACTTTACATTAGCTCACAGTGTCAAACATCTTTCTCTTCATTCCACTGGGTTCTGGTCAGCTCCCCCCTAGCCATCCAACGTAAGCTAATGTGTATTAGCTATAAGCTTGGGAGTTCACACACACCCCTGCACTTCAGACCAGCCAGCCCTCCCTCTCTCATCCCCAGCCTCAAAAGACTAGATCAACTGGTGCCAAACTCAGCCTGTTTCTTCACTGCTGCACCTCCCCCACTTCCACTAAGTGGACCCAGGCGGTCCTCAAGAGCAGCATGGCAGGCTGTCTACTCACCATCTCCTTTTAACTTTTAGTCCTGGAAGGCATTCTTCTAACAGCAATGACTTTTCCCCGCCTTGATGTACCCAAAGAGAAACCTCTTGCTCAAAATTAAAAAAAAAGAGTCATTTTTTTCCCCCATAGGTCTTTCCTTCAAATGCAAATCTCCTATTGGAGGCTTGCTGACAGAGTGGGTTGCCTTGCTGGGTACCTAGTGGTGGAGCTAAAAGAGCTTTGCAACATTTGCCTGAGTAGGGCAAGGCCAAGAGGCTAAGGGCAGAGAGAAGTATGCCCGAGGCACAGCTGAGAAAAAACTGTCCTGATTAAAGAACTGTATCTTGGGTCATTACTGGTCCTGCATTGCAACCTATTACTTCCCTAATTACCCCCATAATTGTGAGTGTTGTCTGTGAGTTCTGTGTGGATACTGCAATAAATTATCAAATATGGCAAAGAAGTAGAGAGTGCCATGGGAGGGACCATGGGTATCAGAATTGGAAAGAAAGAGATGGCAGCAAGTCTAACCTCCACATCATAGGAATCAACCTTGTGCTGTTGAACGTAATCTTTCTTCCCTTTGTGAGGTTGGATCACACCCCCATCCCATTTTTTCCAGAGTCTAATTTGTTTTCAGTTGTATGTGTATTAGTTGCAGCATGTTAAGTGCAAGTAGACTTTGTAATTGTTTTTATTTAGAGACTCTGTATGGTACAACGAGATGTGTACAGGTGCCAAGTTGACGAGGGGTGGACTCTGATAGTTAAGGTTGTGTGTCAACTTGGCTGGGCCATGATTCTCAGTGGTTTAGTAGTTATGATGTAGTCATCCCCTACAATGAGATCTTATATAATGTAATTATCTCCACGATGAAATCTGCTTTGAACAGCCAATCAAGTGAAAGGGAGTTTCCTCAGAGGCGTAGCCTGCTTCCAGTATATATGGACATTCTGGCAAAACTCTCTGAATCCTGCATCCAGCTCTTCATCATCTGATCTCTGGTTCTTTGTACTTGAACAGCAGCCTGTCATATTACCTAATGATCTTGGGATTTTTGCCTTCACAGCCTGTGAGCTAGCAGCCTGCCTTCTTACCTGCTGATCTTGGATTTGTCAGCTTCTACAGCCAGCAGCCTGCTATATTGCCTACCGATCTTGGATCCATCAGCCCCTGCAGTTATGTGAGTCAGGAGAAGCATCAAGTGTGACATCTGACCCATGGACTTGGGATTTACCAGCCTCTACTCTTATAACTGTATGAGCCATTTCCTGAGATAAATCTCTCTTTCTCCACTTGTACACACACACACACACACACACACAGAGTCAGAGAGACGGACACACACATATGTATATGTAAGCTTCACTGGTTTTGCTTCTCTAGAGAACCCGTTAACTCTGTGTGTTGCAGAACAGAACTGTGCTCCACAGGGTTTTCAATGGCTGATTTTTCAGTAGATCTCCAGGCATTTCTACCAAGATGCCTCTGGGTAGACTTTAACCTCCAAGCTTTAACTTAGCAGCTGAGCACATTAACCATTTTTACCACCAAGGGACTCTTGTATTTCTCAAATGGCATTTTCATTTATTAAGTACTTTTTAGGATCTTAAGGCAGAACAAATATTGACAAATCATGTATACAAAGTACATGTGTCCCATACACATCATTAATAAACTACAGCAATATTTCCAAACAGCTAAGAAGCATAATTCTCAAAATTCAAGCTTCCTTATTTGAAAGTATTAGGAGTTAGCAACATGGCAATGGATATTCTTGAAAGAGACTAAAATAAAAATCAATTCTATCTGCCTTGCCTCTAATTACAACTATATTAATGTACTGCAAAAGTAGAGCTAAGTTTTAATATTTTCCCTCTTGATAGATGACTGCTGAAAAGATTTCTACCAAACAATGTACGGAGTTAAATAAATAAGAAAATGTTAATTGGAAAGTGTGTTTCCCATGTTTCTTTTTTTAAAAGCCCCATAAAATATATTTTATCTAAAAGTTTTGCTTCCATAGTATCAATAACATTACTATGTATCTGAAATTTTCTGTTTTCAAAAAAAGTTGTCTCTTTTTCATAACAATGTTATTTCATATAAACTTTCATCTCACCTGGCCAGTTCTTTAATTAAGTTTGCAATGCGTCTTTTGTCTTCAAGGCATAAATCCTTCAATGATGCACTCTTTATTCCTTCCCTAAGGAAATTCTAAAACAACAATAAAAACTTTTGGTTAAATTTTGCTGAACAGAAAAATTTTAAGTCTTCCCAAGAAATAAATCTTAAAATAAATATAAAAGATATCTGGCATGATATCTACTAGTTTCATTTAAACCTACTGTGAACTGAGTCGGATCTGACTCCACAGCAGTGGTTGCGTTGCCTTGTTGCATGAATTCAAAACAGTATAAGGAACTGACTGCTCAGTGGGGGACACAACGGAATTTACACAGAAAAGTACACAGGTAAAAAACTCAAAGGCAGAGCTATCCTTGCTTAAATATTAGGGAATATTAGGGAAACAGCCTTCTCTTCATGAATATCCCCCAAACAATACCTAATAGAAGATACTGAGACCCAATTTCAGGAATATTTCTTATACCATATCCCTGGCTGCTTAAGGGTATAATAAAGTTGGCAGCAGAGGTATTCAAAGGATTCAAAACATTCTAAAGTTCATTCTAAAGGGCACTAAATCAAAGGGCAATAATAATGATAAAAAACCAAATCCACTGCCAGAGTCAATTCCAACTCATAGCAACCCCCATTGGGTTTCTGAGGTGCTAAATCTTTAGGGAAGAAGAGTGCCCAGTTTTCCTTACATGGAGTGGCTGGTGGAGCCAGAGCTCCTTATAATAACAACACCTAACTTCTGTAGAGGAGCTCTGGTAGTGTAGTGCCTAAGGCATTTGACTGCTAATCAGAAGGATGGTAGTTCACACCCACCAGCCACCCCTTGGAAAGAAGGGAAGGAAGGTTAGGCAATCTATTTCCGTAGAAATACCGCCTCCAAACCCAAGGAGGGGTTGCTATGAGTCAGGTGCGACTGGACAGCACATAACAACAACTTCCGTAGACATACTGCCTCGGAAACCCGAGGAAGGGGCCCTATGAGTCAAATCAACTTGACAGCACTGAGTTTGGTTCAGTTTGGTTAATACTTATATCTAGTGTTTGATGCAGGAGCTCTGTTAGCATAGTGCCTAAGGCACTTGACTGCTAGCCAGAGGGCTGGTGGTTCAAACCCATCAGCCACTTCTCGGAAGGAAGGCTGGGCAATCTACTTCCATAGTGACACCACCTCGGAAACCCAAGGAGGGGTCACTATGAGTCGGGTCCGACTTGATGGCACATAACAGCAACAGACTTTGATGCATGCCAGCAAAGCATTTCACACACATTAACCCATTTCCACAAATGTCTATAAATTAGAGAATAAACTATAGGACACTTATGCAATGGAATTTTATAGGTACTTCATGTTAAGCTACTGACTTTCACCTTCAAACCCACACATCCATGCTTTTTTGTGTGTGATGCTGAGACTGAGCCTCTGGAAACCTCATTTTTCCTTTGCCTCTTGACTCTCCATAAAACTCTCCCAATAGAAAGAACTAAGAGGAGACTAGAATCTATTAGAGGTAGAGAAGAGACACATTCTTTCCTGTTTGCTTCCTGTGCCTGTTAGTATCATTGCTATCAGAGTTCTACTCTCTGGGCAAGACTGGTTGACTCCAGTTTGCAATTTTTCCAGCACTCACAAAACCAGCCTTTATCAAGTCTCCTTGAGAAGAGCAGTAGAGCAATACCAGCCAGACTGATACACCCATCATCAGAGGTTCAAATTCCTCTAAGGACCTCTACTCCAAGCTTCTATGTGTAAAAAATTCCAACTTGTTCCTTCTGTTCTCCCAGCACTAAAAGTGATAGCTGTTTTGCACAGTTTTTATATGATAATTATGAGTTTTCTTTTTGACTTTTCAGTTCTCCAGTCCTTATTTACCATTTCTTTATATTAAGTAGGAGCTCTGGTAGCACACTGCCTAAGGCATTTGACTGCTAACCAGAAGGCTGGCAATTCAAACCCACCAGCCACTCCACACAAGGAAGACAAGGCAATCTGCTTCTGTAGAGATACTGCCTTGGAAACCCAAGGAGGGGTCGCCATGAGTCAGAATAAACTTGATGGCAGTGAGTTTGAGGGTTTTTTTTTTTTTTTTCTTATATTCCAAAAAAAGCCAATCTCACTGCCGTGGAGTTGGATCCAACTCATAGCGACCCTTCCTTGGGTTTCCGAGGAGGTATCACTATGGAAGTAGATTGCCCAATCTTCCTTCTGAGGAGTGGCTGGTGGGTCTGAACTGCCAGCCTACTGGTTAGCAGTCAAATGCCTTAGGCACTACACCACTAGAGCTCTTTGCTCTGAGAATTGAGGTTATTAAGTATTATCAATTGAGAATTTTAAGTATTCTCAATTAAATTAACTGAATAAACTCTGACAAACTATACATCAGTTAAAAGAAACTATATTTAGCTACATACAACATAAATGAATTTCAAGAAAAAAAAAAGTTAAGCAAAAATGCCTATCACACATTACATACTATGTGACCTCAAAAAGTTATAAATACATATAAAATCAAATATATTTGTTTAAAGACAAATATATCTTTACATATATAGAACAGGGGTTGGCAATCTATGACCTGGAAGCAAAATCTAGTCCATGGCTTGTTTTTGTAAATAAAGTTTTATTGAAACGAAGCCACATTCATTTATTTAAACATTATCTATGGCATTTTTCACACAACAATGGCAGAGACAGAAAATGTGTGGCCCACAAAGCCTAAAATATTTACTATATGGCCCTTTACAAATAGGTTTGCCAATGCCTAATACAGAAAAACAAAAAAAGAGTGATAAAAACAAAATTTAGGATAGGGATTACCAGAGAGAAAGATACAACAATGGAAGAACATACTTCCACAGTAATTTGACTGACAACAGTGGTATCAAAGCAGTTCAAAAGGGGAAAGGAAGTCTTTTCAATAAATGATGCTAGACCAACAGGCTATCAGAGTAAGAAAAAATGAACAAAGATCCTTAATTAACACCATATGTAAGTATTAATTCCTGATATCACATGCAGGTAAAATCTTACTGAAGATTATTCAAACACAGCTGCAGCAGTTTATTGACAGAGAGCTTCCAGAAAAGCAAGATGGATTCAGAAGAGGACATAAAATGAGGGATATCATTACTGATGTCAGATGGATCTTAGTTGAAAGCAAAGAATTCCCGAAAGATGTTTACTTATGCTTTATTGACTATGCAAAAGCATTTGCTTGTGTGAATCATAACAAATTGTGGATAATACTGAGAAGAATGGGAATTCCAGAACACTTGATTGTAGTCACGAGAAACCTGTATACAGATCAAGAGGCTGTCATTCAAATAGAACAAGGGCATACTGCATGGTTCAAAATCAAGAAGGGAGTGTGTCAAGGCTGTATCCTTTCACCACACTTATTCAACTTGTATGCTGAGCAAATAATCCAAGAAGCCAGATTACATGAAAAAGAACGTGGCATCAGGATTGGAGGAAGACTCATTAACAACCTGAGATATGCAGATGACACAACTTTGCTTGCTAAAAGTGAGGATGACTTGAAGCACTTACTGATGAAGATTAAAGACTACAGTCTGCAATGTGGTTTACATCTCAATATACAGAAAACAAAAATTCTCACAACTGGTCCAATAAATAGCTTCACTATGGATGGAGAAAAGATTGAAGTAGTCAAGGACTTCCTATTACTTGGTTCTACAATCAACACCAATGGAAGCAGCAGTCCAGAAATCAGATGTATTGTATTGGGCAAATCTGCTGCAAAAGACCTCTTTCAAGTGATGAAGAGCAAAGATGTCTCCTTGAAGACTAAGGTGTGCCTAACCCAAGCCATAGCATTTTTAATTATCTCTTATTCAAGTGAGAGCTGGACAATGAATAAGGAAGACCAAAGAAGAGTTGATGCTTTTGAGTTGTGGTGTTGGAGAACGCTAAGAGTACCATGGACTGCTAAAAGGACTAACAAATAAGTCCTGGAAAAAGTGCAGCCAGATGATCCCTGGAAGGGAGAATGGCCAGACTTCGCCTCACCTACTTTGGTCGTGTTGTCAGAAGGAACCATTCCCTAGAGAAGGATATCATGCTTGGTAAAGTGGAGGGTCAATGAAGAAGGGGAAGGCCCTCAACGAGATGGATAGACACAGTGGCTGCAACTATGGGCTCAGGTATAGCAAGGATCGTGAGGCTGTCACAGGATTGGGCAGGGTTTCGTTCTACTGTGCGTAGTGTCATATGAGTCAGGGACAACTCGACATCCCCTAACAACAACAACGTAAGAAACTGAAACACTGAACATGTTAAGTCAAGACATAGAAGATGAAAGAAGAAAAAAAATCCAAACTGAACTTCTAAAAATAAAACCACAATATCTTAAATGAAAATTGTAATGATTGAGATTAATGGCAGATTAACCATTGCAGAAGAAAAGATTAACAAATCTGAAAGCATAATAATACAAACTATCCAAAAATAAACACACACACACACACACACATACAAAAGGAATAGAACCAGAGAATTGTGGAGTAACCTCAATTGTGTGTAACTGGACTCAACAAAAAGAGCGGGAGCAGGACAGAAAAAATATCTGAAGTAGTAATGGCCAAAATTTTTCCAATTTGACGAAAACCATAAACTTACAAATTCAAAAATCTCAACAAACCCCAAGTAAAAATCATGTAGAAACCCCACGCACATTATAATTAACTGCTTCAAACTAGTGATAAAGGGAAATTCTTAAAAGCAACTAGAGAATAAATTTTAAGAAACACTAAATAGAGCAGAATAAAAATAAGAATGACAACAGACTTCTTCAAAACAGTGCAAACCAGACAACAGTGCAGCAACATGTTGTTAGAGTACTGAAAGAAAAAATTATGAAATCAAAATTTTATAAGCAATAAAAGTATCTTTCAAAAACAAAGGTGACATAAAAGATAAAAAGAATGCATTATCAGCATATGCACACTATAATTATATTAAAAGAAGTTCTTTAGGCTGAAGGAAAATAATATGAAATAGAAATCAGATGTAGACAAAAGAATTTTAAAGAACACCAGAAATGGTAACTATATGAGTA